AAAACAATAAAAAGGGATGTAACTCAGTGGCAGACCCCCTCCCTGGCTTGATCCCAGTACTGCCAAGAGAAAACAGAGATTCTGAATGGCCTTTTGTGTGGGCCAGGGAGGCACCACCTGGATCTAACCTTTAGAAAAGAACCTGCCTTGGCTGAAAGGAGTGGCCAGCTGGAGCCTCTCGCTGCAGCCCCTCCTACTCTGCCACCGCACTGGAGCCCAGGCCTGGCCACTCCCACCCAGAGCACTGGCCAGGGTTTGTCATTAGAGCTGCAGAGATGCATGTGTGACTAATTCTGCAGCCTTCCCTCCTCAGAGAGGCTGGAACCATACTGAGAGCTTCACTGTCACAGGTGTCACCGCAACAGCCGCTGCACTCCTAATTCCATTCGGATCTGCTCACTGCAGGGGAGAAACTCTGAGTGCTGGGTGCTCTGGGTGCCCATAGGATAAAAAGGAAGTCACCAACACAGGGCCTGGGAGGGAAGCTGCTCAACTTGCAGACCTTGGGCCTCACCTTCAACTCTGACTTCTTCTCTAAGGCCTTGGCGATGACCCGGGCTGCTTCCACGCCCACTGTGTTGCCCTCCAAGCGCAGTGCCTCCAAGCCATCAAAGTCTTCGATCTCTTTAATCACTTCTTTAGCTGCCCAGGACCAAACCAGAATGTTAGGCTTTGACAGTCATGGAGAGCTGGGGCAGGGGAGAGTGCGGTAACCACTGTCCCCACATATTCCAAGGGCTATGGTGCACCTGCCCCATGCCAGTCCCGGCTTGCAGAGGACCAGACGGGCTCATGAGCTGGCAGCAGGCACAGCGAGGCAGATGCCACCTCTGTGAGGGTTATACAAGGCAGAGGCAGAAAGCACAGAAGCGGAGGGGAAAGAGTAGCAGGCTGATAAGAGCAAAGACAACTTCACAAGTGGGTGGTGAATGTAGGCCTCCAGGATGGGGCACTCACCAGGCCAGGAAGGGGAATGCACCAAAGCGGGGCCAACAGCACAACAGCAGGCACAACCATAGGTCTGTACTGTTAACTGGCTCCTTCCTTCAGGGTGTGTTTCTTACCATGGCTATCTTTAATAATGAAAAATTCCAAACTATGTAAACATGCATAAACATAGGATGATGCATTTCCCAAGTACTGCAAGAAAGCAAGCTGGGGCCGGGGACATGGCTCAGTAGAATAAGCGCTTCCCTGGCAAGCACAAGGGCCTGAGTTCAATCCCTGGTTCCACAAAAAAAAAAAAAAAAAAAAA